TAAATTTGTCTTTTAAAAGGCTATCTAAAAACTCGAAAATTTACAGGAGGTTCCATTTAAAAAAATTGAAAAGCGTAACATTTTGCGGAACGTGGCAACACCGCGTTTTTAAAGCAAATATTTCAAATTTGATATAGTCTAAAGAAGAGCATTATTTTATAGAAAATATCATGCAGAAAAAAGTTTAAAAAGTTTATGAGTAACGTAACAATGACTGTTGAAAATTACGCCAAATCCTGAAGATAGTTGCTAATAAGTTCGAAATGGTATATCACAGACACATGACCAGTATACCTTTGAATTTGTCTTTCAAAGAGCTATTTAAAAATGTATTAAAATATAGGGTGTTCCGTTTAAAAATATGCAATTTCATTTGTTCACCCTGTACATAGTAGAGTGACACCAAAAATAATACAAAAAAGTTGTAGATAATTTTATTAGAAACAACTTTTGTATTTAAATTTTTTTTACAGCCCTTGTAGATTTCGAGATAATGTATAGGCCCCTCTTAAACGGGCCACCCTGTACATCGAACTTAAAAATAAGGTAGCTTTGTCTTACGCGGACGATAAGCGCTACGTTATCCCATATACTGAATACACGCTTGCATGGGGCCACCGAAATTTAGAATTGTATAAGGAATCGTCAGAAATTCCTGAGAGTCAAGACTGATTGGGGCAACTTTCTTAGCTTTTATGTCTTGGCATACGAAGACGCTTTTAGAGGGTTATAGTTTAATATTTCTAGGTTAAGATTTATAGATTTTTATTTTTATTATATATTATTTATCTATTTAAACTTGGATTTAGATTGTCTATCTCGTTTTATACACTTATGGGTCAATTCTGTGCACATCTGTAAGCAAATCTATAATCGTGAATAAAGCTATTAATATCTCATCGTCGGAATCCATTTTGGATTTGACTAAAGTCGTAGAATAAGTTGAGAAGTGTGGATGCGAGATGGGTCAATAGATTTTTCCGATGACTTGGCTTGTCAAGCCAAGTTTTACGACTTACTTAAGCGTGTGTACCGTGCTTACGACTTAAGTGGAACTTAAGTTACGACTTTACTTTACACCACTGTTTAAGGTCCCCCTCAAGTCTAGTTACAACCCAACCTTGAGGTTCACCTTAAGCTAAGCCTCTACCTAACATAGTTTGTTTAGGCGACCCCGGTGCAAATAGCAATTAGCAATATTTTTTTTCTTCAGATCTTTATGTTATAATGGTACTTGAAAAGGCAGCGTAATGCGCATTTGCCTTATTTTTTAGTAAATAAGTATGCTCACCTAGATCCACGACATCTTCATACGAAAAAATCACCATTTGATTTACAAAACTTTCCTTTGTTTCTAGAAAATAATTTAAATATAATGGACATTTTGAGTATTCACCTGAATTTTAGCCTGGGATGGCATGAATCAAGAACCTCGCAAACAATTAAAAACGATTGAAGATGCACCACGTGGAACTGGAACCTGTAGGTAAAATACAACTACAACTGGCGAACTGACGCGATTATTAGGTAAGGGTTAGACCACTGGCAACGCCTAGAGGTGAATCGACCCTCAGGAGTGTTATTTTAACCAATTTTCGGGTTATTTTAACACTATCGCAACTTTTTTCGCCGGCGTAAAAAGGAATATCCTTTTTGTAGTGTGAAATATATCCTATTATATCATATTATATCCTATATCCTATTTAAACTGTGTCAGAATAACTCAAAAGGAAATGTGCGCTATTCATACCTGTTAAAAAAAATTCCTGACCCAAAGAGTTTTCTGAAGGCTGAAACCTCTCAAAATAATAATTACAATTATAAAGTTGATTAAAAAACAGTCAGACTCCTTTGTGATAGAACCACTCCAGTCAGCAGTCTATAGATATGAGAATTGTAACTGCGCGCATCAGTGATTTAGTGATGTCTAGCAAGTGGTTTTGAAGGTACGGAAGGAATTCGGACGTAAATGTGTTTCAATAACAAAATATCGATAATAAGAAAACGCTAAATATTTCAACGTGGTTGTTAAATCTTTTCTTTTCATTAACTGATTTTATTCAATTTGGTCTATTATAAAAAGTAAACATAAAGATACCATCAACTTTTGTCAATTTGGAAAACATCCAGCCTGGATGAACCTGATTGGTGGAGTTTTTGGCACGATCGCCGTTGCCATGGGGCACCATGCGGTTGCCATAGGACTCAGATCTCGCTATTGGCCAGGGCTCCCGTAATTTTATCCTCCCATCTTGAAATGTGGACTTATATTGAAATATCCAGTAGCGGTGGAGTGCTCATTGGTCATTGTCGATTTTAGGTCAATCACAATTTTTTTAATCAATAATTTTTCCATAATTTCAAGTGTTTGGAACGAAAAATGATAAAATGAAACTATATAATATGTATATAGGTAAATCAATTTTTTTCAAATTTTAGAATGCGATCCTACTAGTCCCTAGTCTTGACATTGTATTCTTGATAGTAGTTGTGAATAGTGTGTATTCAGTGACGCATTGAAAAAATATTATGGAAAAATCGTGTGAGATTTATGTATTTTGCATAGAAAAAGGAGGCAGCATATAGGTTATAGGTTATTATATAGGTATACGTTTAGGTTATTTTATTTTATCATTCTTCGTTGCAAACAACTAGAATTGAATTTTTTTTTTTTTTTTTTTTTTTTTATGAAAAGTTATTGTCATATTGAGGCAATAGGTACTAATGCGCGCAGCTACCATTCTCACTTCTATACACTGCAGATTGAAGTGGTGAAGTGGACAAAGAAGTCTGACTGTCTTTTCTATCAACTTTTTAATTGTAATTATTATTTTGGAAAGTTTCAGCCTCCAGAAAACTCTTTGGGTCAGGACATTTTTTTGACAGGTATGGAGTAGCGCCTACGCTATGTGTCCCCATATTTCGCTGTCTGACTATTAGATTCCTGTTCTATATTATATTTACTCGTTGTCTATAAATTTTGAGCTTTGAGAAAACAGTTTAGAGATGCTTCTTAAAATTTGCGCGCGTCCCAGCGCCAGCTGTCCCGGAACTGTAAGTGCTGACTGTGCACAGGTTTTCTACCACTAAAGTACAACCTATTTTGAAAATATCAGCCTTCCGAAAACTCTTGCATGTTTTCGACGCCAGCTCCCCAACTAAGAGGCCTTGGAATTTCAGATTTGGCAAGGTGTAAGTCTGGTAGTGTCTTTTTCAACTACAAAAAGAATTACAGCCTTGTTCTAATGGCATCTTGCGATGCCTTTAATCGATTTTTCATGGTGAACATTTATGTCATATGTTATATCATGATTGGGCTGTTTTTAAGGCCAGTGGTTTGGGTGAAGGCCTTTTAGATAGAACTTTGGAAATTCCAGAGCCCAAGACTCTACCAAACACCAGCGTCAAACTACCACACTTTTCTTGTAGCTGATGCAGCCTTTCCACTGCATGAAAATATTCTAAGACCTTACCCTGGCTCCTTCTTAAATGAAAATGATAATTTTAAATCTTATGTCTACAGTGTTTTTTTTTATTATTTTAACGTGTTACGGCTTGTGTGTTTTTGAATTCCGTAATTTACATATAATGATGATGTTCCAAAGACAAAAAAACTTTTGTAATACCTACAAGATCTGTGATACAATTATTCTAATGACAAGGAAAGTTAATTTTTAAATGTTAGTAGTAGTCAGTATGTTCCTAATGTCCACCTTTCAATTATTTATTTATTTATCCAATTTTTTACGTCTATTGTAGTGTCCTGAGGATGCAAATAAATTTTGCGAAACGTCGACAATTTTAAAGAAAACAAACTTCCGTTGGTGTTTTTTTTTTCCGATCCTACCCCAATCAAAACAAAGCAAAAGAAAAACAAAACATTTTCAATTACAGGTAAGAAATATATTCGATAGATAATATTTATGTATTACATACATATTAAGTCAAAGATGGCGAATTTTACGAAAGACAATTTATGCCAGTCTAGAAATGTGTGAACTAATCACTCAGGCGACAGTAGTACTCCACAATCATTTGCAAGCCAGTGAAGAAGACTTGCCTGTTAATGACAGGAAGTACTGCCCAACAGGATTTGCAGATTTTGGGGACGCAAATGAGACCATTCAAGAGGGTTTGTGGAGAATGGAAGGATCCCGTTTGAAATCTGTGAATAGATTGGCTTCAAACAATTATTCACAAAATGCCAAAAACTGTACCTTTTGGCCGATTTTTTGGTGTCAAAAGAAGGTTGGGTACCTTGGCAAGAAAACCATGTTACTAGAGGGGGATACCCACAATCTTTCAAATAATTGTTTATTATTTATTAGTATTAGTTTACAAGTATTTGTTTATTAGTATTAAATTATTAGTATAAGTTTATTAGTATTTAGTTTCTTTTTCTTTTTTGCCATACATATTCTACAAAAGTTGTTGTGTTTCACCTCTACCTGAATTTCTGAGTAACTGCTTAACTTAAACTTTTTTTGAAATTGATCACTTTATTTGGGTTGGTTTCATACGCAAAAATACGCTTTATAAGAATTTGATAAAGAACAAAATCACTTATTGAAAATTTTACTTTTTTTTAAATTTTTCTGATAAATTCAGCTAAAGCTGTTGTAACCACACTTTTCTTTGGGAAGGTAAGGGGTAATAATTAAATCAACACTAAGCTTATAATTTAATTTTTAGGAACAATAGGATTTATTGAATTTTAAAATACATTATCTAATTATTCATTTTTCTCATTTCCTCTGCCAGCAGCAACAACATTTCTGATTCGATAACAAGTTTATTGCTGTTGTTAGTGATTTTTGACAAATGTTCTGCTAGTGACATACAAAAGTAATGGTCCGCATCCTTTATTGTCTTCACAGTTTCTTCGGTGATTTGCTTCATGAACTGATTCAAACTTTGCCCTACATCAGAGCAACTCTTCACCATATCACCATATTCTCAATCACTGAGGGTACCTGTGTCACCTTCTGCTTTTTCATTGACTATTGTCGTCTTCTTCTGATTGGGATTTCTAGTTCTTGATGTCTACTGGTGCTTGGGATGGGATTCTGTCTACTGGTGCTTGGGATGGGATTCTCAAGCGGTGCTTCTAAATTTTGTTGTTTTCTTCTGATTGCGATTTCTAGTTCTTGATGCTTACTGGTGCTTGAGACGGGATATATAACTTTCAAACCGGAACCTGATGAGCCTAATGAAATTTCCGTGTCCCCATGGGTCTCCACCTCCTCAAAGCTCAATAATTGTGAAGTTGGCCTTAGATTTCCGTCCAGGTCTATTCCAGACTGGGTGTTCTCACACTGGCTGAATACATCAGATTCAGTAAAGCCTTATTCTAATTCTTGAATATTGAAACTCCATATTGGTGAAGGCTGCAGCGTTGATGTGGGTTTTTTCAAAACTTTGCCACTTGTTATGAAAAGAAAATTGTTTTATAATTTAATACACCTTATGACCAGTCATTTACTAAGTATATAGAGATCGTATGGTAATTTTTAAGAACAATAGCAACATACATAATTTCATTAGCCTCGCTTTTAGCAGAAGCCTAAATAGTTTGCCAAACATTATACAGGGTGTTTGGAAGGTCGATGCAAAGTCTTGGGAAGGTGATAGGGCAGGTCATTTAGACTTAATTAAGCCAAACATACCTTAGTACAAAGTCTTACGGTTTTCGAGTTTTTCGAACGTTTTGGATTTCTTCAAAAAAAGGCAATTTTTCACATTTTTCTCCTTTTATCTCTAAAATAAAAGATGACAGTTTGATGATATTTTTTTTTGATAGCAGAACGTTTGTCTTTTCTGAAAGTGTAAAGAAAAGAAAACCATACTGACTGCAAAAAAATAATAAATACATTTTTGGTAATTTTTCTTTTTACTGATAAAAAAATTCTTTTTTTGCTAAAGTTTATTAACTAAATCAGCTGTAAACAAGCTGATTTTATTAGTAATACCTCATCAGAAAAAATAATTTTTGATCAGGAGAAAGAAAAATTATCAAACATTAATTTATTATTTTTTTGTAGTTCGTTTGGTTTTCTGTTCTTTACATTTTCAGAAGAGACACCCGTTCTGCTATTGAAAAAAAAATATATTGTCAAGCTGTTATCTTTCATTTTAGAGATAAAAGGAGAAAAAAGTGAAAAATTGCCTTTTTTAAAAGAAATCCAAAACGTTCGAATAACTCGAAAACCGTAAGACTTTGTACCAAGGTATGTTTGGCTTAATTAAGTCTGAATGACCTCCCCTATCACCTTCCCAAGACTTTGCATCGACCTTCCAAACACCCTCTACATATACCTGGGTACATGGGTTTTTCCCATAATTACCTATCAGGTCAAAATTTCAATAGATTACCAGTCAGTATTAAAATCTATGAAAATATGATTCCTTCACCTAGGAGGATTAAGTTTAGGACAATATAAACTTACAAACGAAATAAATATGTAGATGAAGCAATTTAAAAAAGTTTACAACTTTGGTGCCAATGGCATTGTCTGTCAGACACAATTAAATAGACAATAAGACACAATTAAATAGACAATAAGACACAATTAAATAGACAATAATGAAAAGGTATTCAAACTATTGTATAGAATATTAAAAGCTTAGTCAAATTTTAAAAAAATACTTACTCAGGGCAGTGATAGAAGGTTTCAAATGCTAAAATAGTTTTTTTTGAGAAAGCAATCTGAAACCTTCAGTCAAACCAATAATTTTTTAAAAAACTTGGTATACATTTTACTTACCTTCTGGTTTGAATTGTAGGCGCCAGAAAAGCCATTGCTTTGAACAATGGCCAATTGCCAGGATATGCTGCAGTGCCTGATGGCATTGTTATCATTAGTCTTCGTTCGCGAATGTATTTCGACTTCAGGCTTTTCCATAATTCTTTGCAGGCTTCCACTAAAAAAAAAATGCATCAATGAGCATGTATTCTGCGAGGTATTTTGGATAGGTGAAATCACAATTCATAGGATAAAATTTCTTTTAGCACTAAACAGATTATTTAGTTAGTAGGTTATTTCCCAGGAAAAAAATGTATTTTCAAAATGGTAATTAATAATCTAATAGAACTGAATAATTAATAATATCTGCCAAACTATATGTATTAATTTTATTTAGATAAAGATTTTCGCTTTTTTAACGCAAAGTAATTGGGAAAGCAAATCATTAAGCATTTTGGCAAAAACTACCTATACAGAATTTTTTTTTCCATTGTTTTCAATAAAATTACGAATTTGGAAAACAAAATTTCCGCTAATGATTATTGCGAGGTAATGTGGTTTTAGGTGAAATGTTCCTATGTGGCGGTTTGACATTTCGTTGAGATTTTGGCTAAAGATGAACTTAGTGCAATTTATAATTACCATTTGTTTTTACAATAGCTGCCACGCTTTTCCACGCGTTTTCCATTCCTATGGCCTTTCAATTTATTATCCCATATACAGGCGAACGATTCCACAGTTTCGAGGAACGTTCCTTGCTCCAAATTCATTTCAGGCACAAAACAAACAAAAAATACTCTCGAAAAATAAAAACTCTCGAAAAATAAACTTATGAAGAAGTCAATAATTATTATAAACTTAAAAAACAAAATAGGTACACCTTGAAACACACTGACCTGGCCACTGGCACGAACATGAAAATAATGAACCACCCCATTCCCCAAAACAATAACCAAAATATTTTGGTTTACCTGCCACTCCCACCCTAGCCTTTGATAATTGACACTGTGAGAGACGCATGCGTACAGGCCAAAATTTAGTGCTTAATTCTTAAAAAGTTAAAAGTTGGTCAACTTTGTGAATTGTGCATTATGCACTAAATTACGCATTATGCACTGAGAGTTGGCTAAACGGCTACATAAGAATCTGAAGTTTTAAAATTAAGCATTAAGAATTAAGAATTGTGCATTATACACTATTTGCTGGCTAAACCGGCCTTAAGATTGCAAATCCCACGTATATCGGCTTATCATATTCAACTTTCTGTTTAGCCATATGAATAGCCTCTAAATTTTCACCAAATATAGTGAAGTTTTTGAAATGTATGTATGTATTGATTGAAATAACATATTTTTCTTTACGGTTGAGTTTGGAATAGGTTTTTCAAATTTAAAACCTTCTGGAGCAACGATCTCTGGGCAAAAACGTAGCTCGTTATGTATATAATATAAGTCTTTCGGGTACGTTAAATCAACTTCGAATATGTAAGCAGTGTTTGAATTTTTATCCAGTTTCAAATAATCCAAATTTTGAATTTCTTTCGCGTCAATCCACCTAAAATTAGCCGTCGGTAAATATTGGGACATGGCTGCACCATACAAGTTGGTTGCATCCAAGTATATGATGTAAGAATCAGGTTTGGAAGTATTATAATGAGGAGTGAATTTATCGTTCGCGATAGACTCTTTACACTACACTGACTGACGCCTCCGCGAATACCGCTTTGCAGGAAGTGTATCATGTCTATGTCCTTCAGTAATTCTAGCTCCACAGCCGTTGTTTTGAGAGCTGCGTCAAAAGACAGACCTGAACAGTACTGCATAGTACTGACACGGATCTAGACCATAAGTTGATTGACACACGTCTCTGAAATTCTAAAAAATATCAGCTAGAAGCAAAACTTCGGATTGATTGATTGATTGATTGATGGATTGAATAAATATCTGAATATTGACCCAAGGTTTTAAATTTAAACAAATTCCATGTTTTCTGTGCACGCTTGTTATCTTCTTGTTTGATGCCTTTTTTTCCTAGATCGTTATAAAAGCCATCAATGGATGGGAGCTTGGTGCCATCTAATTTCGAAAGTGAATCTACGTAGGAATATGGAAAAACGCCCTTCTGTTGAATGATCTGAAATTCATCCTCCGCGGGAAAATATTTTCTAACTTCTCGACATTGTTCTGGCTTTAAATTTTGTGATAGTTTATCTAAGCTTGATGCCATGAATCTAAAACTGTCGAGAAAGCGTAACTTTAAAAATGCCTGTTTGTATTTGCCCTGATCGAGAGATACTTATCCACCAAAACATGTTTGATAAATGAAATGTACCTTATTTTGGGGGATAACATCCAATCTCTCGTTTTCTTGAGCCAATTCCTCAACAAACAGATGGAAATAAAAATTGGACACACAGTGAAAGAAAATGGGAATAAAGTTTGGGGCCTTAAAATTAATATTGCAAACGGAATGGGCTGCAGCTCGATAATTCCCAGTGAAATGACAGTGATCCCTCACTCTTTTGTCTTCAACTTTAAATGGTTTTTCGCAAATATGGAAATTTTTTGCATTGTGAAACTATTCTCTTGTTCCTGCCACAAGAAGATGCTTTCATAAATCGATTATAGATTGATTTACAATCAGTCTCTAACCAGTCTACTGTTGGAAGTAGCCTTCCGTTTCGCCGTGTTTAGGTAAATGGGAATTTTGAGCCAGGGAGATTGATTCAAAGTGAGAACGCGATGATTTTTTTTCTAATTTAATGCCATGTTGTAAAGCTTGCTGCAAATTTTGAAGATGAATAACATATTTTTCTTTACGGCTGAAATTTGGAACGAGTTTTTCAATTTTAGAACCTTCTGGAGCAAAGAACTCTGGACAAAACGGTAGCTCATTATGCCTATAATGTAGGTCTTCCGGATATACTAAATCAACTTCAAAAATATAACCAGTGTCTGAATTTTTATCTAGTTTTGAATAACCTAAATTTTGAATTTTTTCCGCGTTAATCCACCTAAAATTAGCCGTTGGTAATTATTGAGACATGGCTGCACCATACCAGTTGGGAGCATCCAAGTACATGAGGTATGAAGTAGGTTTGGAAGCATGATAATTAGGAATAGATGTATTGTTCGCGGCAGCTTTGCGTTCATTATATTGATTGACCCCTCCGCGAACACCGCGTTTCAAGAAGTGCCTCATGTCTATATCTGTCAGTAATTCCAACTCCACAGCTGTTGTTTTAAGAGCAGCATCAAAAGATAGTCCTGGTATGGTACTGACAAGGATCTAGACCGTAAGTTGCTTGACACACGTCTCTGAAATTTTCAAAAACATCAGCCAGGATAACATGTCGTATTTTGAATAAATATCTGAATATTGACCCAAGATTATACATTTAAACAAATTCCATGCTTTCTGTGCATGCTCGTAATCTTCTCGTTTGATGCCTCCTTTTCTCAAATCATTGTAGAAACCATCAATAGGGAGCTTGGTGTCATTCAATTAGGAAAACGAATCCACATACGAATACGGGAAAACGCCCTTCTGTCGAATAATTTGAAACTCATCTTCCGCGGGGGAATATTTTCTAACTTCTCGACACTGTTCCGGCTTCAAATTTTTATATAATTTATCTAGACTTGATGCCATGAATCAAAAACTGTCGAGAAAACGTAGTTTTGAAAATACCAGTTTTTGTTTACCTTCTTCATCAGGTTGAACCTTATCCACCGAAATATGTGTGGTAAATGAGATATACCGCTCCTTATTTTGAGGGACAACATCCAATCTCTCGTTTTCTTGAGCCAAATCCTTGACGAACAGATGGGAATCAAAATTGAACATACAATGAAAGAATATTGGAATACGGTTTGGGGCTTTGAAATATAGATTACATACAGGGTGAGCTGCAGCACGGCAGATGTTCGGCAATCCCCATGACGTTTCAGGTTATCCCTCCTGGTGAACGATTTGGTAAAGAAATCGCAGCTAAACATTTCCTAAAGCAGATATTCACAAAATTAAAAGTCCGCTGTTTATGGAGGTTTGTTTTAAAGGAAAAAATGAAAAAATAGAACCAGTTCAAATTGAATAAAGTACCTACCTTAATTTTAGAAAAAGAAATTAGAATTTCCATATTTGATTCCCCACATAACTTTTATTATCAATAAGTGTATACAAGACAAGAAAGTCCCTGACCAGTGGAAGGTTGCCAATGTCATGCCAATAGCCAAAAAAAATAACCCCTCGGAACTAAAAGACTTTAGGCCTATAAGTGTCCTACCCACCTTATCTAAGATTCTAGAAAAAATTCTTTATGAACAATTATTTAATCAAAAAAACAATATTTTGCCACCTACCCAGTCTGGATTTAGGGCCAACTATAGTACAACCACTGCTTTACTCCAGGTAACTGATGACGTAATCCAAGCATCGGATCGGGGTCAATGCACTTGTGTAGTTCTATTAGACTACAGCAAGGCATTTGACACGCTGATCCATAAAATATTATTCGCAAAACTTGGTTATTTTGGATTAGGTCCTGATGCAATTGCCATGTTGGCAGATTACTTTGACGGGAGACTTCAGAGGATTGTTTTTGATGGCAAGTTTTCCACGCCTTCTTTGCAGGATAGGGGAGTACCACAAGGAAGTGTTTTGGGCCCTTTAGTATTTACTTTGTATACGGCTGACCTCCAGAATTTCTTAAACTATATGTCTGGCCACCAATTTGCCGATGATTACCAGCTCCGGCTCTCTTTTGACAAAACACAAATGACAGATGCAAAAAAACAAATAAATAAAGACCTTGCCACAATCCAGAGGGTGTCGCAGCAACATGGACTCATCTTAAATGCAGCAAAAACCCAAGCAATTCTCTTTGGAAGCAACAGGAGACAATGTTTCGAAGATGGGTTTAAAATTTCTATTGATCAAAATGAAATTGATTTCAGCGACTGCGTAAAAAACTTAGGCGTCATGATAGACTATAATTTGAGATATGAGTCACATGTTTCAAAGCTTTTACAGAAAAGTTATGGTAAACTTAAAATGCTAAACTTGCATAAAAGCTCCTTATCCACCAAAGTTAAATTTAGGTTATGTGACTCACTAATCCTCTCACAAATATCATACTGCGACACTCTGTACTGGCCCGCACTTTTAAAGAAAGACCAAGAAAGTCTTCAAAAACTCCAAAACGCATGTTTAAGATTTTCATATGGTGTGCGCAAATTTGACCATATCTCGCCCTACTATGTAGAGTCTGGATGGCTCCGGCTTGATGAGCGATTCTTCTTGCACATGTGTACAATAGTTCACAAAATTATCTTGACCCTCCAGCCTAAATACTTGGTTAAAAGACTCATCAGAGGGTCGGACATTCATAATCTACCTACCCGGCATAGAGGATTGTTTACAGTTCCCAGGCACAGGACGGCTCTCTTCCATAGGTGCTTCCGGTACGTTGCAACGAAATGTTACAACTCGATTACATTTGAAATGAGATGCTCTAAAACTGTACCTACGTTCAAGAAATCCCTTAAAAGCTTCCTTAAAGCCAGGAATTTGAAATCCATTTACATAACACCATAGTTTGTCTCGCTTGGTCATTCTGGGGAGTCTGAATTGATAGAATTGTTAGAATAAGTAAATTCGCATATTTGTTATTTGGTTAAATATTTATGTAATGCCATTCTTTTTTCCAGATTAATTGTATTCATGCTGTTTTTTTATTGTTCTCTTTTTTAATTATTTTTCCATACCATACATTTCATGGCGTTCACGAACTTGGCGTCCATGTTTTTCAAAGTGGTTAGATAGAATAGCTATGCTAGATCTCGCCACTTATTAAAACTAACCATATGAACAAATTGATGTAACATATATAAATAAAGGCTTTTTGATTTGATTTGAATTTTGTGTAAATGTAGGTGAAAAAGGAAACTCAAGTTGTAACGAAAAAATAAAAACTGTCGGAATTAAATTTTAAAAAAAAATTCATTACTTTTTTATGTAATAGTATTAAAAATATCGAGGTTTTTGTGTTAATTAAAAATTAAAAAAATATATAAAGTTTCTTGAAATATGTCTCAAGGCAAAATTTATCCTAGACAAGACATTTTTTTAAACACTAGAAAATCAAAAAATCACTTTGATATTTAAAAATAGTACTTACTGTTTTTCGGAACCTACACTTATCGCACACAATAAACTAAAATTAGTATTGAATGCTGCTGTTGCTGCTATGCTGCTTCCTCTCCAACTGGCTGCGGTTGAATGGAAGCGCAAACTTGTTTGTTCTAGTTGTAATGACGTCAAGGAGAATAAACGTTGATCATCATATTTTACGGGTAAGAATATATCCACTGTTTCTTATTATTCCGTTACTAAATAATACCAATGGTCTATTCATAATGCAAAATGTTGCATTGCAGGTTATGGGGCCAGACTCATTATTTATAATATGTCAACGATGCTAATTTAAATCTATTCTTCTAATTTTAAAAAATTATTTGAATTTGTCTCCTTTCACAGATACACTATTTTATTTAAAAATACAAGTTTAAAATAAAAATGGCCCTAATAATATCTTACTTAGTAATGACGCCCTAAACTAACAAAATCGGTTTTTATAATAACCTTCAACCAAAATATTTTCAAGTAGGTACAAGATGGCTTATAGGTTAGCACACTCGACTTAAACACAGCGGTACCGGGTTCAATTCTCGGAAACAGAAGACGTTTTTTTTTCATTTATTATGAGACTGCTCGTTTGAGCGTAAAAAATGTCAACGATGCTAATTTAAATCTATTCTTTTAATTTCAATAAATTGTTTGAATTTGTCGCCTTTTACAGTACATCTCATCTCAAAAACTGTCAAGACTGAACTTTTTTTTTAAACACTACGCTATTTAAAAATACCAGCCTGAAATAAAAATGGACATAGTAATATCAAACTTAATTAATGAGGTCTTTTATCTTTAAAATGTGTTGATGTTGCACTTTCCGTGAAACCGTTGTTTACGACCTTGGTATGATAAATATTTTGCGACGCGTTTTGTCCGATTGTGATACTGGGAAGCGTGTGAAGGTAAAACGGTTTTTATAATAACTAATCAACTAAGCTTCTTTCAGTCTCGTTTAAACTCTTCAACAGTGAACATTATAAAATTATTGCACAACAATTATCATCATTTCCACCAAGTAAGTAAATATTTGTACATATATACTACTATCTATACAATTATGAAATATTTTAGACATGGATTTGAAATCAATCAACAAGATTTGTCTAATCATAAAGGATAAAAAAACATTGAAAAAGTTACAAGACTGGCAGCCTGGTAGCATTATCACAGTATATACAAAAACAATCAGATGGGCTTTATTTGAAATCGATCGGACGTGCACGCAAAGTTGCATCAATTTGTTCGTATACGCAACTTGTTTTGTGCGAACAGCTTTATTTGAAATTGACATTGGACGTGTGCATCTCTACTTGCGTGCACGCAAAAGATGCACTCGCTCGCTACGTTGCCAGTTTTTTTCTATAAAAAACAACCAATCAAATGCGTGGATTTTTTGATATTTTCGCTGAAATATTTTTTGATGTTTTGAGGTTAGAATTTTTCAAAATAAGTTTCGTGTTGACAAATTACAAATTTACCATAAAAATGGATATTGTTAGTTCGCCAAACGCAATGAACAAAAAACAGCTCTCCGCAAATTCAAATGCCGAGCAAAAAAGGCTTGTTGCCAAGTTTGTTAGAGAGCACACCAACCTTCTCTCTGGCAAATTCACAAACTGGTTCACCAAAGAATCGGGCAAAAATCTGTGGCAAGAAGCCTCAGTAGCATTGAATGCGGTGCCCAGTGGTGGTTTCAAGGATTGGAAGCAGTGGAGAAAGGTAAGTTGTTTAATAAGATGTGTATTAAGTCATCCGGATTCGTTTACACTTGATAATGGTTTTTATTGATCCCATATATTCGATGATGTATTTTTTTCTACTTTTTTGTAGATCTGGCAAGACCTAAAAACAAGGACCAAAGTGAAGGAGGCGGCTGTCCGTAAGTACAGGACTGGAACTGGTGGTGGACCTAGAATGCCGCCTCCAACACTTAAACCGGAAGAGGAGGTGGCAGTCGAGGCCCTCACAAAAGTCTCAATCGAGGGACATAACATAAAGAACTTTGAGGAGCAAATAAGGAATCCCTTGCCGGCCCAACCTCATTCCTCATTACAGTTAGTTTTTTCTCCAGTGTCTGTATCCGAACCCCCGAGTCCAACAAAGTCTCCTATTCCCTGTCCCTCGCTCACTCCTATTGCAGACTGTGGCACAAATAGTATTTGAAACCTTATTTTAGATGAAAATATTCGGTTTCAATATGGGACTCAAATCCACAACCTCTGAATTTGAGGCCTAACAGATTAGTGACTAAACAGTTTTCAAACCTTTTTTGTTCGATTTTTTCATTTATTTTATAATCAGTGAAAGAGGTGATGTGGTTAGATACTTCAATTGTTTCTTGCATCAAATTTCTGTATACTTAAAACCAAAGTACTTATTTTAGACTCAATTTTAGAAATAAAAAAGTTCTCAAAATTTTCCTACACAAAAAACTCACATTTTTCACAGATCCTATAAGTTTACAATTATTAAATTTCATGTAAGTAGGTACTAATTTTTGATGTTATGTATGTTACAGTCACCAGCAAGAGATTCAGCAAAGCACGCATGCTGAAACATACAATTCAAGCCTCGGAGTACCTAGGAAGTATTCAGACGGATTATTATGAATATAGAAAAATATATTCCAAGCCAGGTACTCCAGGTTGAGAAAGATAAATTGGCATGTTTGCAAAGAATTGCTGTGGCAGAAGAAACGAAAGCTGCAGCTCTGGAGAAACTGGCAGAGAAGGGGGTTTTCCGTTAAGTTATCTATAATTTTTTTTTTTTTTCACATAATTACCTCCTATAGATACATATTACCAAAGATAATCCTATCCTTTTTTTCATAAATTACATAGTGGTACATATAGTATTTTGGAAATTATAGCCCAGGCTATCCTATAAAAGGTGAAACAACAAAGAAGCTATACAATTAAAATGAGGGATGAGGGTTGAACCGATGCACTTCTCCGAGAGTCATCAAATAATAAATCCCCATGTAATAAAGGAATTATTGATAGACAAAATATTTTTGGAAATACGAATAATTAATTGGTAGTTTTCCTGACCGTCAAGTTTCGAAAATATAGGGTATTCCAATAAGAGGTTTCGAATGTTTTATCTTCCTACTCTTCTTGTCTCAAACTTTGTTTATATTATTCGGTTTTTATTTCATTGTGGAATTCAGTACAATTTCAGTAATGGAGCGCTACACGGTAGAACAACGTGTTTACATTGTTAAAACGTATTTTTTAAATGGGTCTTTTGAGAGAGTCACGTTTCGGCAAATTTGTGAATACTTAACGTGTACGCAATCGTCCGTCAGAAGTAACCATTCGTAAAGCGTAGATTCAAAACCACTGGATCTGTGCAAGATATCCAAACAAAAGTCCGGGAACGTCCTGCTCGTTCGATTGAAAATATTCTGGCGGTTCGTGAAAGTATGGCTCAAAATCCACAAATGTCTGCTGAAAGGCGCGCGCAATATATGGGTATCAGCAAAACTTCAACATGGCAAATTTTGAAAAAAGATTTGAGGCTACATCCTTACAAAATTCAACTAACACAGGAGCTAAAGCCAGCCGATCATGAGCGACGCCGTGCATTTACCAATTATAGTGGAAAACTTCATCAAAAGAATTGTATTCCACGATTAATTGTACACTGTCCAGCTACGCACTGCCATAAATAACTTTACGGTATGTTATGAAACTTTTATTTTATTCGTTACCAACATTCGCAACCTCTTATTGGAATACCCTATAGTTTTCTTCTTTCCTGGGATTCGGTCGTTTAAAACAAATTATTTCTGTGACGTTTCGGTATTTTTAGTACCATCTTCAGACATACAATTCTGCTTTTTAATTTTCCATTTAGTTAATTAATTTTTTTTTTCTTCTTTTTTTTTCCCATTCCGTCTTATTCAAAATTCAAAGCAGCACTCTACGAATACGAATAATTATATGTTTATCAAGTGTTTTTATAGTTAATTCATAGCCTAAAATTGAAAGATTGTTCGACTTACCTGTAAGGAAGGACAATCTAAATTATCCGAGCTTATATTCCGAACATTTTTGCGTACATTGCAGTAATATCATATCATGTGATGACTCACAAGTATAAAGAATAGTTATTTATGTATCAAGGGTACTAAGTAGATGATTATGCCCTGAGGGCGACAGTCTTACAAAGCCGAGGGCCCCTGGCCCGAGGGTTCGTAAGTCGCCCGAGGGTATATATATATCTATTAGTACCCGTGGTGCATACAAACTTTTATGTCATACCAGTTGGTTGTGAATAATAAATACCTGGGAAAAAAGTGTCACTTCGCAAATTGTCATCAGTGTGCAAACATCATCATTTTTCGACCAAAATAATATTTTTATCCGCGTAAATTTATATTTTGTTAATAAAGAATAAGTTAACTGAAAACTGTTTCTTTATGCCCGCGCGGGCCATAATGTGTACTTTATGCCCGCACGGGCATAAAGTAATGAATTATGTAGATGGTATCTAAGGTATAAAAACACAATAATGTATTGGTATGACATAAAAATAAAAACAAACTTTTTTCAGCAGTACCCGAATTCCAATCCAAGGCTCTCATTATATTGTCGCGTAAAGCCCTAATAGTGAATAGATCGTATATGGGTTGTGGAGTTTAGGGCGGGCAGCAAAAATGTTCGGAATATGAGCTCGGATAATTTAGATTGTCCTTCCTTACAGGTAAGTCGAACAATCTTTCAATTATCCTTCGCTCATATTCCGAACATTTTTGCTTACATTGTAGATGTTTAGAGAAAATCAATATCAAAGATATACGATATATGAACCTAGAAATATCAAATTAGACACCCAGTTACTGATCAAATAATAACAAACGTTTATATTAAGATAATACATATCAAACTCAACAAGTGTCAAACGCCTATTTTAACTACATTATACATAATATACACACCATATACTATTGTTAAGTTCTTTTATTTAGGGAACAGAAGCAAGTCTCTTGGCATCAAATTATTCGTTGTAACTTTTATTTAAACAAATTACACATCAAAACTTATTTACGAGATACCCTACTCTAGACCCGATTGACAATATTTAGCTGTACGGTGTACAATTCAATAAAGTTGGCTCAAGAATGGTATTTAAAAAATAATATTCCTATAAACTAAGTAATTATGCTGAATAAGCGGTATGCTGATGAAGCAGTTTCGTTCTTCGCGGCAAGTCAGTGGCCTGCAGTAGTGGCAAAGCAATGGCGAAGCAGTGGCGTTACATAACAGGTTCCTCCCCTGTTAAAATTAATCAATGGGTTGACTTGATTGATAATTTTATTTCCCTTTGGAAATTGATCGTCTTCCTCGTAGCATCAGAGGATTTCGGTATTGCTGAGTGTCACCTGGCTCATTGGTGGTATCAACAACTGCTTTCAGCTCGAGTGCTTCTGGTTCATGACGTCCTTTCGGGATTTGTTGCAAAAGTCTGACAGGTTCATTAGAGTTCAAGAAGATGTTGCTGTTGGATATCGATGAATCGTGACTGTAGATATTGATTTCACGTGTGACGACTTTTTCGGGGAAAAATCGGCCGAAATAAGGTATCCATTTACAGCTACAGCAAAACTTGGAACAGCAGCAACATATTGCAATCAAGATTATGAAGATGATTGCTACAGATAATATCCGGAACCAAACGGTTTATTTATTTCGTGTTGCAAAGTTTCTTCGAACATTTCTAGTTTATGCTTTGTATGACGTAATTCATCTAGATCTATGTTATTTAGATGAATTGGGTCCATAGATATATTCCTCATCTGTTCGATTTCTTCTACACAGCAATCGTCAATATTGATGTTGATGTCAGGAACGAAATGAGTGAAATTGCTTGTTTGGTTTGAGGTCGAAGACAGAATAGTAGAAAGAGTGAAGCATTTGCAATGAGGCTTCAACTTCAAGATGCCAGCTTCCGTCAATGTGAATTCTATAAAGTTCTCGGAGTTGGTATCACATGACAGAGTAGCTCCAACAGGCGAAGAAACAATAAACAGCCATTGATTCTGAGCGATTTTGTGATAGATTTCCAGATTGGCTTTTATGGTTTTCGTGTTGCAGTCTTCAGGGATCTGCTTAACCTGATTGAGCTTCAGGGTAACCTCACAATTTGCGTTCTGGGCAGTTAGATAAGTTACTATATCTTTACATAACTGGGTCTTGTCGTCGATCTTCTTGCAACTAGACAAATCTTTTATCGAAGCAAACCTAGTTTTACTCGTACTTAGGATGAGGAAAGGGTACGTAGGATCAATAAATGTATAAATGGATCCCTTAGCATCAAAAACAGGTAATGGCAATAATTTATATAAATGATAATTTAATCTTGAAATAAGTGGTATTTTAATTGAGAATATTAAAATGTCGTTATTGTAAATGACATTAAGATCACAAAGAGAAAAATACTTATACGTATCTTCATCATTTATTAAACTAACTGGAAAAGTTACATCTGAGTCCAGCTTAACATTGAGAAGTTCGTTTCTCAAATCTTTAGGATTAATTACATTTGGGTGAATAACATTTTGCTTGGCAAAAAGTATTGAAGAAATTATCAAATCATATTCTTCAGTTAATTCAGTTATGATATGTAATAATAAGTTAATATGCTCTGTCACTGCGGTCACATACGAAATCTCATTTATCTGTGTTCTAGCTTGATCATTAAATTTATTAAATCTTTCGAAATTATTATTTAATTTCTCTTCATTTAAGTTCAAAGAAACGATAGATCTATTATAGTTCTCGATTGCAGAAGACATTACTCTTATTTGTTGTTGCATTAGAATCTGAGTTTCGTGATTTTTATTTTCCAAAGAATTAATTGCTTCACTATAATAATCTGCATCGTCTGCATCTGGCGTCCCAAACAACCATTTAAATGCAGTTGAAACTCCGTTTATTAATCCTCTGCGTTTGCGTTTTTTCTCGTATGTATGAGCAACTAAATGAATAATAGTATCAAATTTCCTTTTTTATGTTTTAATCTGAGCGTCAAACAAAGCGAGCGAATCTGTGCAATGAAAACTATGCACGTATATTTTATTATTTCCAAGATTGGAATTATGACATATATTTTTTGATTTTGCATACATTTTTTCCACAACTCTAAATTTATGAATGGAAAAGGAAATATTTGAAAATGAAAGGAGAGTAAAATAATCATCGTATAACTTAACGGAGCCTAGAGATTGATAAAAAAATCCCGGCTTGGTTATTAATTGGAGTTATTTGATAAGCCTGCTCCTCTGTCCGCGATGAGTGGGCGCGACACATCATAATTATGAGAAGAGCACGTAGCATGTAATGTATCCGCTTCATTTTTGTCTGAAACAAATGGTTTTAATAAGTCCTTGTGGTACGAAACTAGCTTATTTTTTATTTTCAATAGGACTGAATT